TTGTAAGACAAAATCTCTTAGATGTTGAATATTTCAACCCCTTTTAAGCATACTTCAGGGTTGAGAACATTATAAAATATGTAGTATTATTGACAAATGATATTCATTTCATTATAGAGCTTAGGGATAGAAAAGAGAAAAACCATATTTCTTCATTCCAGAAGGGTGTAACTTTACCGGAAAGAGATTTTCCAACGAAATGTATACCAAACACTCACCTCAATTTTCATCACAGAAACATCTCTTGCATGTTTCAGAGGTTATTCAGAATCAGATACACCGTGTATATGTATGTATATATGGACAGTACATCCCGTTTTGGTTCATACAGCCAGTTATCTTGGTTGTTGTGTTGTTGCGGTGTTGTGAAACTTTTTCGTGAAACTCATGATAGCCCGGTCAGATTTTGCATACGCTCTATTCAGTTAATAAGTTACTGGGCGTTTCTGAAGATTCACACTACATAAATCCCCTCCATATCTACAAAGTTTCTCAGCGATAATGTCAAATTGAAAAACAATTGCATAGAGGATTTCACGCAGAATCCAGTAGCGCACTAAAACTTTTTGATTTTTGAAATGGAACACCCTGTATTTTATTATCTCAGTAAATTCCATTTTTATTTCCACCAGAATAATACATAACGTATAATCATAAAATTCTCAAAATTTCTCCAAAATAATAATAATAATAATAATAATTTTTATTATCCTGTAAGACAATCAAATGTTACATTGTGTAGGGTTAGTCACGAAAGAACCTCAACAATAAAAGCTAAAATAAGTAAGTAGGAATTTTACAAGCAGTAACACATAAACACATTATTCAAGGACAATTAGTACATAAACACATTATTCAAGGACAATTAGTTAAAAATGGATTACAACACCAAATACTCATTCAATCATTTCCTGAATGGAGTAATAATTTTTTTCTAAAAGGACTTGAGTGCAATTTTAAAGCTATAGATAGTGCTAGAGTTTTTCAGTTCAATGGGGAGCAGATTAAATAATCTGAGCCCCATCACATTTGGAGAATTATAGGTCAATAAGTTTTTACAAAATGGTACATAAAAGTCTGTCTTAGATCTAGTATTAATAGTATGCACATTTTCATTCCTTACAAAACAGTTACGGTTGTCAAATACAAAAACGCATAATTCAAATATATACAAGCACGGTAATGTTAGTATTTTGAAATTTTTAAAAAAGCTCTTGCAGCTTGTACTTTTCGAGACTCCTGCTATACATCTTATAATTTTTTTCTGGGCGACAAAAACATCTCTGCATGAGGAAGAAGATCCCTAGAAAGTAATACCATACCGAAGGCGAGATTCGACTTGGGCATAATACAGCATAATCAGCTGTTTTTGTTCGAGAATATGACGAAGGTTTCTAAGAAGGAAATTCATAGAGTTCAGTTTTGATATAATTGTTCCACAATGAACTTTCCAGCTGAGAAATTCATCCAAGTGTACACCTAAAAACTTCACCGTAGAGCACGGAGAAATTTCATCATCTTCAATTTTCAAGTTGAGACTGGCAACTTCTTTTTGTCTAGTATGAAATCGTATCAAGTGCGTTTTCTGATTATTCAGATATAGGGAGTTTTCCTTAAACCAGGTATTTTATCTGATATAACAAGTGAAGTATCATCTGCATATAATGTGAAATGAGCCTCTTTGGAGATGGATTCAATATTGTTCACATATAACAAAAAAAGTACTGGGCCCAGCACTGAGCCCTGAGGGACACCAACATTAATATTATAATCACTGATTCATGGAATTTTGATAATGATAGATTTTTCGTACAAAAAAGTTGCAGGAATATTACGTGTGATCCGTTGACAAAGAGCACAATAACAATACTAAACGAATAAATATCAACGAAAAAATCATAATATTGTCACGAGTAGAACATACGGTATATTTGAAATTTCTAACCATGAGGGTTTTATAAACATAAAGTTAATCAAATCATCCGTTGACATTGAATTATAAAAACTGACCAAGGAACTCTCATGAGAAACGTGCATATCTAATGAAATGATGTATATAAATATTTGGATGTGAGGGTTCCGAAGTAAGTCTGGTCTGGGGCTACTCTTGACTTGACAAGAGCTCGTCGTAATGGTCATTATAATGTAAGTTGTTATTGGGTCTTTATATTCATTGTTGTTTATTCATATTTGTCATCACTTCACCCATAATGTTTCATGCTATAATAAAAAATATTGTTATGTTTGAATGTAGATTCGTACTTTCAGTTACCCCTAAACTATACGTCCATGATTAGTGCCATGGACGTATAAACAAAGATTAGTGCCCATTCGAATATAACCTCTCGCAAACTATTGAGCCAAGCAAACCCCTTTCAGATCGATATAAATGGATATGGGTGGAGAAACCACCTACTTTATCGTGACATGGTGGAAACACAACTCTTTTGATGTGACAATATGAAGGGTGTCCAACTCTATTCATACCCGCATTTTCTCGAAAACGTTTTGAAAAAATTGGCTTAGATGAGAAAGAGTGTTGCAAAGAAATTAGTCATTGGAACTTCCTCTCGATGAACCACCCTTGAGCACACACCACCAATTATTTTCTCAAGTCACACCTCCATCTCATTGTGATAAAGAGTAGCTTATTTGCTTATGAACACAATGATGATTTTCACAAAAATTGGAAATATTGGCCCTATACGAGGGCCAGCACGATTGCCAGATACATACCCATCAAATTCCAGTAATATAATTCAAAACAAGAAGTGTGTTGGACCTGTACTAAGCCCAAAAATATCGCTGAGCTAGCTAATTTTACATCAGTCATCTGATCCCGCCTTTATATTCATGATATTGGTAGACGAAATTCCCAATATGATATGCTAATGTTGTTGTTGTTTTTGATTTGACAATATCTAGGGATTATTCATGGAGAGTGAAATACATAATTGTGTTCGCAAGCTAATAAGCTACTCAAAAATGAAATAATGATATAGGGGTGTGTAACACATCAATGTTGCCGCCCATGCTCTCTTTCAAATATAATATGCCAAATATCCTCCAGGACTCTAGGCAACCCACTTTTTATTAAAAAATAAAAAAAAACTCTCCAAGTCATCTCCACAACGTTTGATTCAAAATTCAAGAAGAAGGGGACATGTTTCGGATTCAAAAGGTATCCATCATCAGCCAGAAAGAAATTATTCTACAAAGAATAACGAACCACTAGGTAGGTATATCAAGTAACAGATTGGTACTCACGTGGAGAAGAAAAAGGCAAAAACATGGTTATAATTAGCATGGTCAAACGATTATTGGAACATGCTTATAGTTTTAAATCAAATTTGAAATGAAGTAAACAGGTATCATTATTTAAATTGGGGTCCTGTACCCCAGATATTTGCTCAACGATCCCTTACATTCGGTAGCAGCAAGCAATCACAGAATGATTGAAACAATCCGACAGATTGATTGATAGTCCTACTTAGTGGTTCGTTGTTCTTTGTAGAATAATTTCATTCTGGCTGATGATGGATACTTTTTGGGTCCGAAACGTCCTCCCTTTCTTGAATTTGGAATTAAACGTTGTGGAGACGACTTGGAGAGTTTTAATCATATTTTAACTACTTCACTCCTTCACTTCACTTTGAGATAACATGGACTTCTACAGTAGATCCACTTTTTATTAATATAGAAATCCGTTCGCGCGCCTATAGATCAGTTATTGGCGGGGATTTCCGAAATATCTTGCGCTGGTCATTTCACTCTTGAACGGACAGTTTTCTCAACCAAGTGGATAATTCAAACATCCACGTCGATCTATCCCAAATTTGGTGTTTTTTACCTACTTTTCTTTACTTATTTGTATAATTAGTTGCATCACCTTTTTCTTACATCAAATGATACTCTGTCCTGGTGCTAATTAGTGCATTCCATAATTAGGCTTCTGACTTTTCGCTCAACCACGTGATTTTGAAGAACTCAAGCAAATGAGTCTCCTGGACCAGCAGCCTTTCTATCAGTAAACCCACCAAACTCCTGAGACCATTATAGGTGTGATTGAAAAGTAATAAATTCACTACACCTTTTTCAATTGTAATTCAGAAAGTATAAGATGTAATTCAGAAAATATAAGTTGTAATTCAGAAAGTATAACTTCAAATTCAGATTAGTTAATTGTAATTCAGAAAGCGTTATATGTAATTCAGATTAGTGAAATGTGATTCAGAAAGTGTAACTTGTAATTCAGAATAGTGAAATGTAATCCAGAAACCGTCAATTGTAATTCAGAAAGCATAACTTGTAATTCAGAGAGTATCACTTATGATCCAGAAACTAGGAACAACCGGTATGCATCCATTCTCCTTGAGGTTCGGGTGTTGGAGAACAACGACTTGTTCATCTATGTAGAACAGAATATTGACCAGGCCAAAGATACAATTGTTGGAGGTCATTGTGCTAGGTCTGCACAACACACCACCATTCACCATGCTGTAGCTCTGGCATTGAAAGATATGCCCGTTGGTCGATAAATATAAAATATTGATGTTCACCACACAATGAACCATTTGTTGATTTCTATTCCCTACCCTTATTAAAGTCCATAGTATTTATGAATTACAAGTGATACTTTCTGAATCACAAATTACGGTTTATGAATTACAATTGACTATTCTGAATTACAAGTTACACTTTCTGAATAACATTTCACTAATCTGAATGACATGTTATGCATTCTGAATTACAATTGACTAATCTGAATTACAATTGACGCTTCCTGAATTACAATTAATTATTCTGAATCACAAATTACTCTTTCTGACTCACAATTCACTAATCTGAATTACAAGTTACACTTTTTGAATCACAATTGAAAAAGGTGTAGTCGAGCAAGTTGTCACTTTTGATCCCAATGAAATAATCTGCTATTTAAGTTCATCCAACAGATGAATCTTCAACAACCATACCCACCTCAACTCCGGGGATGAATCCACCAGCAGCCGCACGCAATCGAGGCATCCCCTGGCGGCGGCGTAGTGCAGCGCCAGGGTGGTGCCGTTGTGGTGGGCCCCCTTTTCCAGGGCCGGCATCTCGTCGCGCGATTCCGCCTCCCACAGCAGCCAGCGCAGCACGTTCAGTCTGCCGTATCTGCAACACAAAATAAGAAGCAAACTATTAAAGATCATGAAATTTTTATTGAAAAAAAATTTTTTTTTCATTATATCCTGATTTATTGATTTTTTTATTATAATGGGATCGAACACACTAGCCAAACTTACGCCATATTCCTCTCTTCTTTTGATCATCCCATGTGATATGGTTATTTATTATACAAGGGAAAATTTGTAGATTCTAGCTCCAGTGAGCTGAGATCTAATATTTTTTCCGTGTATAATACACATTCCTTTTGTGACAGCAAAAAAAACGAATCAATATCGAGGAGATATTATATCAAAATCAGAAAATTATCGACGTGAATTTTGAAGTTTTTAACAGGGATGACACCTGCGTTGCAGGCATCCTTCTGCAGGCATCTTTATCATTGTTTCAAAGAGATCAAATATCAAAATTGCGAATTTATTGGTTGTTTAGTGATTTACGTAACCTCAAAGTCGAATGGAAGAGAAGTAATTTTTCGGAACTATACCACAACAAAAGCCATCAATAACAGTGTATTTATATGTGATAAATATACGGGAAAGAATTAATTCATGAGAAGTGACATTTTATAACCTGTCAACGGAGATGAAGTTTCAAACTTAGATTGATTGCCGCGGCTGATCGTTCATAGCCGAGCTAGGAATTCAGCCAAGGCAGTCATTCTATGCTGCCATGTGAAATATATATTTTTTTCTTCAAATGGTATAAAACCAATTTTGTGTAATTTTTTTATTGAAAACTCCATCATTTTGTGTTTACCCAATGTCGCGGTGTCAACCATCAGAGATGATCCATCTCACAGTGGAGTGAGGGCAATAGGACAGGACAAAATTTGTACAGTCTACTCCACCAAAACTATACTTTATTGTAAGCAAACTTACAGGGACATGTTTCGAAGCTTTAAAGCTTCATCATCAGCGTTATCGTTACATAACAGCACTAAAGTGAGAGAAAAACCAAGAACAATGTCAGAAAAACCCCTCAACAACGATAGGTCTAAAAAACTCACCTGTTATGGAGGAAAAAAGTTTTGTTCACATATTTAGATTATTGAAAGATGTTTAAGAAAAAGATAATAAAGTTAAATGGGGACCGCAATTATTGCAATTATTATATATAGGGTGACTCAGAAATGCGCCTGTATAAAGCGAAATAATTTAGAAATGTCCTGCTCATGATCCTAGATTCTATAGATCGTCTCTGAAATTTTTGTTCATCTATCTCAAACAGTAAAGCCGTTATCTTACTTTGCGACACTAATGACTCACCCTGTATATCAAAGGCGATATGATAGAAGTCGTGGACAAAATGATTTTTCAGGGACAGGAGCAGGGTCTACTCTATCTTACCGGGCCGGAGCATCGCTTTCGTGACGTCACACTAGTAGGGACAAAATCAAGGCAGTGGAAATTGTCTCTCCCGTTTAATTGATTTACCTCGGGAAAACGGTCACAGTTAGCGAAAAATATCAAGAGGTCAAATATGTACAGAAATGAATTTTCCAGAAGATGAATCAAATTTCACTGATTTACGATCATTAATTTCAGAAATATGGCATATCAAAATTAATTGACACCATTCAGAATTGTCCTTTTTCAAACAGCTATCAAAATTCCAATATTCAATTTACAGAAATGATTCAACCATGAAAAAATTTCGCATAGTATCTAGATTGACTGAGTTTTTTTATTGAAATTCCCAAGGGCCAACAACAAACCGATATTTCAATTCAAGTAGAACGATGATTCAGGTGTTCATTACAGAATAGTTCAAAAAGTTCGGACGCCTCCCATGCTAATCCTATCAACTGTGGATATATGGTGTCACTGACTTCTCTGTAGGAAATTTGATTGCCTACAAATCGGTATAATACACATCCACTTTATCTCGAAGGGTTTTAGCAGCGTTTATCTCTAAAGATGATCAGGACGCACTTTGATGACGTTCGAAATCCTATCACTCGATAGTGATTTTTCTTTTTTCTTTTTTTTTTATTTCGCAATAATTGTTCAACGGAATATTTGAAATGGTTTTAGAGAATGTTCTGCTGATTAAATCAAAAGACCCACAACTGCAACATCGATTCTCGGAATAATTGAGAAGGGAATTGATTTTAATTTCTGCTAAATTCTCCAAAACTTTATGTTGTGACTTACATTGTAGAAATATTGTTTCGAATTTTTCAGACACCAATATTAGTTGGTCTGAACCATACGCCATTTAGAAATGAAATAAAATAAAAAGTATATCGCCCTTTACCAGTCCAAGGAATTATACCGCGAAATCGTAATACAGCGAAATTTGGGTAGGTAGGTATAACGGCCCATTTTTTTACGCGCTCTTTATATTCAATTTCTTCCGGACTCATTGTAGGTAACTCTACAATTTTTTCACTATTCAATTGATTCATTATCGTAGTTTGATATATTGAGTTAGTTTCATCTTATTCCAATTCCAAATTTGCAAAAAATAGTATTCTGTAGTACAACGTCCTGATTTTCAATAAAATGGAATTTCGTTACAACGCCATAACTCGGCATTGATTCATCCTATTGGATTCATTTTTTCACCAAAAGTTGAGGAATTTGTTGGGGATCATTTCGTCTCGATTGAGTGTGCTTCTAAAATTTATAGTAAATGAGCTATAGCCTATCAATTACCAACGCATCATTACGGACTGATGTGAAATCTCAACCTACTAGTGTGACGTCAGCGTCGAAAGAGAGGGGATAGACTACGGCCCGGTGAGATACAGTAGGCCCTGACAGGAGCCCTTTATGACAGATAACCGACTCTCGGGAGCGGAATTTTATTATTACTAAAATCGTTAGATTCGAAGTTTTGGCGAACTCGCCGGGAGACATCTCGATTGTATTATGAATATTTTATACAACACTATTCGCATATAAATGAGCTATAATATCACGATGAAAATTGAAAAAATCTGTTGATTTAAATTATTTGATTCAAATCGTCGCAACCCTGGTCGAATATAAAGAGATTCAAGAAGGAATAAAATAATATATGTATATCCGAGTTCGACAAAATCGTCAATGATTTAATACTATTGAACTGGATAATGTCTAGAGAGACAGGACTTTCTCACAAAAGATTGCTTAAATAAATGAGGAAGAATGAGCCCTACATACACAAAATTCAGTTTCGTGATTTCAGCGACTTATTTCTTCAGACATCGTCGAAACCCTGGTAAAGATGAAGAAATGCAAGGAGGAAGAAGATAATATATGTATTTATTCGACGTTCGACCAATTCGTCAATGATCTGTTATAATATATAATTTATTATAAATTATTATATGTTACAATTTAAACTCCAAGATGATGCATAGAGAGACTGGATTTTCTCTCAGAAGATTGCATGGTGAAACAAGAGGAAGGGATGCACACATAAAATTTAGTATCAAGATTTCAGCGACATATTTCTTTAGACGTCGTCGCAACCCTGGTTGAAAATTATCGAAGAAATTCAAGGAGGAAAGAGATAATAAATGTATATTCGACGTTCGACTCATCCTTCAATGATCTGTAGGTAATAATATAAAACTTCAAAATAGTGCCTAGAGAGACACAGGATTTTCTCACAAAAGATTGGTAGAACAAGAAGAAGGACTACACACACAAAATTCAGTATCAAGATTTCAGCACTAATTTCATCAGACATCGTCGCAACCCTGGTGAAAGATGAAGAAATGCAAGGGGGAAGAAGATAATAAATGTATATTCGACGTTCGAGCCATTCGTCAATTATCTGTAGGTAATAATATAAAACTTCAAAATAGTGCCTAGAGAGGCACAGGATTTTCTCACAGAAGATTGGTAGAACAAGAGGAAGGACTACACACACAAAATTCAGTATCAAGATTTCAGCACTAATTTCTTCAGACATCGTCACAACCCTGGTGAAAGATGAAGAAATGCAAGGGGGAAGAAGATAATAGGTAAATGTATATTCGACGTTCGACCCATTCGTCAATTATCTGTAGGTAATAAATGAAACTTCAAAATTATGCCTAGAGAGGCACAGGATTTTCTCAAAGAAGATTGGTAGAACAAGAGGAAGGACTATACACACAAAATTCAGTATCAAGATTTCAGCACTAATTTCTTCAGACATCGTCGCAACCCTGGTGAAAGATGAAGAAATGCAAGGAAGAAGAAGATAATAAATGTATATTCGACGTTCGACCCATTCGTCAATTATCTGTAGGTAATAATATAAAACTTCAAAATAGTGCCTAGAGAGACACAGGATTTTCTCACAGAAAATTGGTAAAACAAGAGGAAGGGATACACACACAAAATATATGAAACATTTTTCGGCCATCCGTATATGGAATTGCCATATAACTTTGATGGCCGATATTTCAGAAATGATTTATCGTAGTTGGCTGAAATTTGGCTGCCACATCTCTCTATTAAAACTTCTCAAGATGGCATTTAATGAAAGAAAATACAGATTCAGAAGAATACATTTTTTATTGTTGTATCAAAGAGGTCATCTTTGTGATCACTTTCCTCGATAAATCTTATGAGATTCAGAAAGATCAGACAAAATGCCACAAGGACTGCTCTTCAATCTGCACGGCATACTCAGATAGATTCAATAAAAAAATATGGAACAAAATTCATTCGAACAATTTTGTTTTATTTCCACGTTCTGGATACCAATCAAATAAGTATATTTTGAAATGGAATAATCGAGATAATCATATTTCATGAATCTTGCCTAATCTTATTTCATCATGGCCGACCAAGTTTTATCTCGAATAAATGGAATTAAAAATCTTCTTTAGTCTCTGTACAATTATCAAGGATGCCACTGTATATATGATGGTCCTACCATAGGGTGATTCATAATGAGACACACGTAGCCAAATGGTGAGTAGGGGAAATTTATGTGAAATTGCCATATAAATTTGATGTTCGATATTTCAGAGACCTCTCATCGGAATGTGCTTTATTTTTCCAAATACGTTCATCTATGGAGATCATCTAAGATGGCTTATTACTCAAAAAAATCCAGTGCCAGAATTAATAAATTTATTTTTCATTTGAATGTCAAAACAAGGTATTTCCTGATTCAGAAGGATCAGGCATTTTGCTATAGAAACCACTCTCCAATTCTTACAGAACACTTCATGAATGAACGCATGAAAATCAACATTTGTATGGATTTTCGATTTTGACTTGGAATTTATTCATCATCCTTGTTGCTGTATGCATTTGTATGAGAGTTAACTACCTGTTAACATATTCAATAAGTCAAATAGCGAAAATTTTCAAAAATGTCCCCCAGCAACTTACATACATGCATACATTTTTCACATCGCTTCAATCTTCAATGAACTCGTATATAGCTTCCTGAATGGTCTTTCTGTTATTTCACTTTTACCATTTTCATGTTCAGATTTTAGTAGTGAATACCATGTTCTGTCTATATCAACTGAACAAGAAGCAATGCTATTGTCTCCGTTGAGAAGAATGCAAGCAGATTCCTTGATTTTTCTCTTCTGGTTGATATCTTCTTTTCCAATGAAGAGTGGAATAATATTAAAATCATACAATAGTATTGCTTCTTGTTCAGTTGATATAGACAGAACATGGTATTCACTACTAAAATCTGAACATGGAAATGGTAAATTCAAGATTAATTATTGAAAACATCCTGTGCCAACGTCACCAATTGTCAATGAAAACTGAAGAGCTTCAAGACAGATACGTCTTAGCTATTGAAATAATCATATCTTATGTTGAAAACGGGAGCAGAATCGGTCCCGAAACGTCCAAAGATAAGTGAACATTTGATATTTTTCAATATACCTTTATTTCTCTTCTTTAAACTTTTTTCGATACAAATTGTCACTGACAAGCTAGTGAATTTTTCTTTTAGGCTCTCTGATAGAAAAATGTTTAAACGCACTGACATTTTGGGGCAAATCCTCCTATTTATCCTCACTACACGTATATTGAAATAATATTCATATTTTTATTTTATAGAAACGAGGAGAGAAAATCCCAAAAAATTTGGAATAATGAATGTACCACCTCCTCGATTAACCTACAGACAGTATTTAGATTTCTAGTGGTAGAAGCTTGTTCCCATAGTGAACTTCAACTAACGATACGCAAACATCAATGCTCGAATATGTACTTTTGGTTGCATACGCTACAGGTGAAGTGAGAGTGCGCCAAAGCATCAGCAGAGGAGCCGCTGATGAGGACCGCGATAGTCCATTCACGCAAGGAGCGCAACAGGTGATGTTATTCTATTTCGCATATTTGATTGCTGAACAATCTACTGAAACATACTGAAACTAGCGATTTTTAACCATAAGGGGTGGCTGGCTTAGACCCAATAAACAGTCAATGGCTCGTGAAGAGAAGAAAATTCAATAAAATGTGTGTCGTGCATGGGAATAATATGAAAATAGTATGGCCAGTATGGTCAGAATAGCTATAATGAAACACAAAAACCACTTGATAACAGATCCTAGAACATAAAATTAGACAAACGGACCACTATTAGGGCCCATTGCATAAAGCATTTCACAGACGATAATATAATTATATATATAATTCATTTATCTATCAGCACTCGCTTGCAATGTAGGTATAATTACTTATGCTCCCTTTATGCAGGTTATTGAAAATAGTAATTCTATTTCGATTGTAGATTTCTGGAGAAAAACAACTACTCTCCTGGCTGATGCCACGCAGAACATTGAATTACTCCCGAAATCTATGCATCAACTCCTATAAACGAATACTGGTACACGTGATTCTTTCCTGTATGCCTATTGATTTCGATTCAGCCAGGCCACGCTAGACACCTACATACCCGGTTACGAGCTCTTGGACTCTCACCAGTGCAGGGCAGTCTCCAGCAAGCAATCCTGAGACCGCCGACTAAGCTTATCCTAGCCAAACAAGAATCAAGTCGGCATTTTGTTTCCTCAGAGGCGTCCCCCATAGACAATATGAGCGCAACGCCATCTGAGTAGAAAGAGGGAAAGAATTCTACAACTGTTGTTCATTTCATGAAAATTGTGTGCATATTCCAATGTTTCATGTTTCTATGCAAAATATAATAGTCACATTCTCATAAATTGTTCTCAACTATCAAACAATCCATATGTATCGAAATAGAATTACTATTTTCAATAACCTGCATAAAGGGAGCATGAGTAATTATACCTATTTTGCAAGCGAGTGCTGATAGATAAATGAATAAAATATATATTTATATCATCGTCTGTGAAATGCTTTATGCAATCGGCCCTTATAGTGGCCCGTTTGTCTAATTTTATTTTCTAGGATCTGTTATCAAGTGGTTGTTGTTTTTCTCACAAAATCTACCATTGTTCTTCATTTTATGAACATTGTGTGGAAATGACTTGGAGCTTTTCGTATTTTTTTAAAAAAATAATATGTTTCATACGGCAGCAAATGTAGATTGACTGCCTTGGCAGAATTCCTAGCCTCGCTACGCTCGGTTATCTACTACTTTGCTGCCTATACTAAGTAAAACAAATAACTATTTTTTAATGAAGAAGTTTGACGAAGGCTTCGTAAAAAGAAAACCGCTAGAAAACGATCGTCAATCTACGTTGTTTACTTCTTAGTGCCATCAACTCTTTTTTAGAGAAATCGGTAGATACTTAGTACAAGAATTGAAAGTTTAATGGATTAATAAAAATCCTAGATGTATACAGCGAGCTGCTGTCTAACCGTAAAACAAGCTCCAAGTCGACAATAATTATTAAATAAGTGATCGAAGCGTTTCTTCTTCAATTTGTTCCAGTTGGAAGAAAACTTGAGCAATCAATTATCGCAAGAAATACCGGAAGAAATGTGATAATGATATAAGTATGTCGTTGGAGCTTCTATATGTTATGGCGGTATCACCAATAATTTGTACAATGATTAATTGGTTAAAGGACCTAACACATTCTCTTATTCTAGATTCTCTGGAAAATATATATGGTTCTTCCCGATTCGGATCAGATCAGCTTAAGAATTGACAGCAATTCTGATATTTCGTCATCGTATGTTGGTATATATCAATATCAATCACTCAACTCATCAACAACACAACAATTCCAATCATCAGCGTACCAATTTATTGAACACTAAACCCACCATCACCAACGACTCAGCTCTTCAACACATCTAAGGGTGCATTTGAGGAAATTATTGTTCGGTACTTTCATTACGTGGTCAGATTAATACTTCATTAGGTAAGTTCCAGGACTATTAGTAAAGCTAACTCAACAATATTGTCATTTCACTAACAAATAATATCAAAACGCACCCAACTCATATTTGCTCTACTTTCCAGCGACCCCTGTCTTCACCCTATACTCATAGCAACGGCCCCACTTATCAAAGACCGACTCATCAACACACCAATTACATAAACATTCAAAATCTCACTTCTTCATGCCAGGAATAAACAACAAATAATGGTAAAGGAAGGAAGGAAAGCTAGAAGTCATCTCTACGAAATTTGATGAGGTTGTTAAACAATCAGGAACATGTTCAGGTCTTAGGAAAGACATGGAAGCTCTATATACTTAAATTGTTCTTAAATGGTTCTTACCCATCATTCCCTTGCCCCCTTACGAGTAACCCTCAGAAGTCTTCAAGAGACTTGTGCGAGCAAGGAATGACGAGGGTCTTACCTTTTAACGTGTGATCCCAAACACTTTCTTATGCCATCAGAAAAATTTCTGCGGTCGTGGTGGGACTCGAACCCACTACCGGTAATCCAACGTGGATAGAACATTGACGCTCTAACCACGAGGCTACGCTGGCCTACATGCAAAGAAATGTATGGTATGAAGGAAATAACAGTATTTAGTGTATCCTTACTGGGAGTTATTATTGTTTATAACTAATTAATATGCATGTCAATTCACATACTCAAAATATTATGAGAGAAATCTTGGCACGGCACGGGGCCCATACCGAAGTGATATACCCGTTCTTTTTTCTCACAATATTTTGATTGTGGGCATCGACAGACTGAAGATGGTCTTTCCTGAGTCCCAAAAATTCCTGATTTGGATTTATAATTACTAATTACTATAGGGTTCAACCCTGTTTGATCAAAAACTCAACCATTTCTTGGAAGTCTTCAAAAATTCATTTTCATTCTTCTTGAATAATAATGTGCTGAAGAAAATATATTCACGATTACTATCTAGAGTGGAAATCAGGGCGCTCATATATAGTATGAATTTTCCAGATATTTTCGGTCACACAAAAGGTGCTTCATAGAGAGATAGTGATTCTGAAAAGTATACTTGTCCTCTCGAAACTGGAACTATGTTAGAAATTAATGTCAAAGCAAGCATGTCTGGAACCTGAAATATGACAATTTGAATCGACACTATATAAAATGAGTTATACATTATGATTGGCCGGTGATAATTCCGCACGATTCACTGTTGCTTTTGAATTAACAGTGCTGTTCCTAAAACTTGCGTATCGAGTCAGTAACAAAGTCTACACATAACAAGCATGGGCTGAAGTACCTCTCATGAGGTCGATGGCCAGTTGATGTCTACACACACCAACAAAGTACATCATTGGATATAATAATACATACAGCGTGTTTCACTATAAACGGCTTCCCCCTCTATATCTCAGCAACATGTATCGGGTGACTCTTGCCAAATTTGGATTGTTATGAATAACTATCGATATGATCACTTTTTCAGAGATGAACTTCATTTTGGACAGTGGCGTGCGTTTTTATTGAAATAAAAAGGGGTCGATTTTTTATGAAATTATATTAGGCATTTTTTATACGAAAAATATAACCTCTGATAATGTTCTCCATGGTTATGAACCCCCATATCATGTGATATTTCATGTGATTTCTATGGAGGGTATCGAAAAAACAAGCACAGCAATAGCATTTTTGCGAAAGAGCCATCGAACGTTCTTATTACGAGGCAAAAACTCAAAAAATAAAGCCAATCCTGGTAATTTGGAATGACTCGAATTTTAGCATATGAACATTCGAAAGCAAGAGGAATAATACTGTGAAGTTAATTAATTTCCTGCAAAAAATTGCTCATATGATTTCATACAAAATCAACCATTTTTATTTCAATGAAAAGGTACGGCACTGTCGATAATGATGTTTGTCTCTGAAAAACTGATCAAATCGATGGTTATTCATATCAGTCACAATTTGGTAAGAATCGCACGACTAATAGATGAGCACATAGAGGGGAGGCGTTAGAAGTGTGAAAGGCTGTATACAGGAGGCTATAATAAAAGGCTGTATTAAGATATTCTCAGTTCAGTGTTCAGTTGGGACAGTTGGGTCCACCACCAGGAATGCAAAATATAATCATTATGGATGAATGAATAAGTCTCACTTGTACAACCTGATATTCTTTAACGATACTTTCTCAAAGAGTCATATTAGTTACTTAGGTTCATTCAGATGGACTTAATGGCATCATTAAAATGCTGTTTGATACTGGAAATCTATATATACCCATGTGTGAGGCATTTGTATGTTCAGTAGAAATTCATTAGTTTCCATAAAAATACCACATTGACAGTCTAGTATGTACCGTTGAATACTTATACAATATCTCAAGAGGTTTCAATCAGCATTTCCAACTGGACTTGAATGGGCCCTGGAGGATTTTACGATTAAATAACGAATATCGATAAATCTCACTATCTACAGATTCACTCTATCGACATCGACATCGAATGTATGATCGTCAATTACCGTCTGTAGGTTAATCGAGCATCAGGTGGAAAATGTTATTCTCTAGATTTCTTAAGGATTTTTCCCTCTTGTCTATACAGGATGGTTCATGGAGAAAGGGCAATTTCTGAACTGAAACAGAAAACCAAGATTTTGAGATGCATTTTTAGCAATTGATCTCACGTGATTTTCCCAAGGAAGGTTTTTGCTGATATCACACTGGCACAATTAGGGGAACGGGCAAAATTTACACTAAGTTTGACATCAATTTTCTTTCGAACCGATCGTTCGATTCAAATTTTTTTCTTCACGAAATGTAGCTTCATTCTTCACGAATACATCTGAGAAACAATTACCTTCAAACGATGAGTCTTTCCATCATATACAGGGGTGTAAAGAAAGTACGGATTTTTCGGTATTTTTTTAGACATCCTGTGGACTGAACCACTGATAATTCAAACGATTTCATAACACCAAATTGGAGCCCAATCTTTTCCGAATATTTTCGTTTCTTATTCAT